AGCACGCCACCGCCAGAAATCGCAGGCGCTTCGGAAGGCCGTCGTCGACGAGCAAGCTAAAGATACGCGCGTTGGGCCGGTAAGGCCCGGACGGTCGGAACCGGACGGACGGCTGTTGTGGGGTGGGTGGCGCGCACAAGGCCGGGACGGGACACTTCGGACAGTTTCGGAGGCAGTTTTACTCCGCACTTATACTTGTCTTATACTGTGTGTGACGGATTCATAATTTCAGTAAAGCAATTACATTGCGTTTTCTTTTTAATAGTGGAAGAAGAAAATGATGCAAGGAGTCCAAGTCCTGCTAGGTATCTCCTCCCACCGCCCTAGCCGGGACCAGCTCTAAGCTCCCGACCGGTGTCTTGGCATGTGTCGTAATGTATGTTTGGTTTGAGAGTGCGCGCGCTCGCGTGTGTGCGAGTGTGTATGAGTGTGTGTGAGTTGTGTGTGTGTGTGTGTGTGTGTGTGTGTAAGGGGGTGACGGGGTCCGTGGCTCATTTGTTAAGGTCAGGCTCCGGCATTCGCCTGATGTTGGTCGGAGAAACTACGGAAAATTACCCATCAGAGCAGCAGATCTCTAGAATTCTTCTCTAGACAGCGACTGGATTCGACCTAGCTATGTAGCTAGGATCGAACACCCTGTCACCGTCGGGACTGGAATCTAGGACCCCCCACAGGCACTGCAGACACATCAATTGAGCCACCAGAGCCGGTATACAGCGGAATGCACAGACAGCACATTCGGAAGATGGAACAAAATGAGTTGAGATGAAATGATTCATGACAACCACAGACAAGAGGACCCAGTGCAGGGATAAGAGCATCCACTACCGCGATAAAATTACGAAAGGCGGGGCGCCCTTCGCCAGCAGAAACCGATCCGGTGAGGAGCTACTGCTAAGTGCTGCTAAGCGCCTGGCAATGGAAGGCAACTCACGGAGGCGGTGCGCAAGGCGGAACTTACCTTCTCAAACAACAACAAAAAAACAATGAAAATAATAAAAAACAATAAAACTTAATATAAGAAGATAAACGATGTTAGAGATGGAAATGATGACATGAACCTAAGAAGAAGAAAGAAGAAACACCACCTTCTGTGCACTAATTCACTAAACAAGATAAGATAAGCATGTTGTCTGGAGTACAATTGGTTTGTTTATTGTGAGCCTACTTCCTAGACCTCATGATCTGGGGAATAATGCTGGGCACATTTTACGGCGTCCCTTTGAATTGATTGCGCTGCCGCAGCTGAGAAATCGCTGGCTCCTCACAGGTCGTGTGTGTATTTGCTAACAAGAATCTACGCTTCCAGGCGCCGTCGTGGGGACGGTGATTATCTCACTTACGTCCTCTGAAACGTTACAAAATTAACCGAGAAGTGGAAATGAAAGTGGCAATTTCGTGTGATCAGTCTTGGAAAACATCAAAGTAGAGGTGCTACAACGCACGTACTTTCTCGCATTATTGGGTATCGTTATATAATATAATATCACAATTTCTGCCCTGACAGTCATCGCCTGAAAAAGTACAAACAATTTGAAACTAAGTGCCTGCGGTGCACAATTGCAAAAATTTCGATAATCAGGATCAGAACCTTTTCTTACTCAAAAATTAATAAATCTCAACACTTTTTACTAATTACAACACTTTTTAGCATATTATATGGACAAGCATGGATAATTTCACGTATACGAATAAATTAACATCTAGAACTGAAGTCCATTCACTGCCTTACGATTGCATATATAGCATGTAACTATACGACGTCTGTATGATGTGTTTTCGACACGATGTTTATTTCCGAAACTTCTTACGAAATCCTCAGAATAGTCAGTAAACTAAGAAATAAATGTTTATCTAGTTTGAATTAATTTCCGGATTGTTTATTAAAAAATGTACACCTGCTTTTATACGTCCGTTTACTCACCTTTTCAATGCTTGTTCATGCACAGAAATATTTCCAGATATTCTCAAGACAGCAAAAATTAAGCCACTTTTTAAAAAAGGAAACAAAAATGAAATTCAACATTACCGACCAATTTCTCTTTTGTCAGTTTTCTAAAAAAATATTTGAGAGGCTTTTCTTTATGCGACTGGAAACTTTTCTCAGGAAAAACGAAGCGTTTTCAGACTCTCAACACGGTTTTAGAAAATCAAAATCTACAGAAATTTTTAAAGTAAAAGTTTGTTTTTTTCTGGATAGCTGTTTTTATACAATTACAGACTATACAGACATCAAAAAGAAAAATTATTATATTTATTCTAACAAAAAATGCAATATATAATGCATTAATTTAATTTCGTATTATATAATTTTGAAAAAAAAAAAGACAATATATCTGTAACAAGTAATGCATTTCAGCTTTTGGGTCAATGACCCCCCAACTCGATCAGGTTTTTGTCCAGTTTTCTTGATACATTGAGCAAATGCTGAGATGGTCCCTTGTTTTGCTCAGGACATCAATGTAGCTTCACTATGCGCACGTTTTGTTGAACTGTCCTTTTGCTTGTAGTAGTAGGAGTAGAGCTGGGGTGAGTTGCTATTTTGTTGGCAATAGAGAGAAATCAAATCTGGAGTTCGTTTGTCGATGCAAATACGTTTTTCATGATTCGGTAATAAAAGTATCTAGTTTCTAGGTTGCTAATCACACGCTTTTTTAAATTTAATTATTATTTTTTTAACTTTTATCTTTCAACTATTTATAGTTGAAATGTTGGAAAAGGGTTCTAGAACCACACACTGGCATTTTAAGGAAAGAACCAATGTCGGTAAAACACGAACAATTGTTGTAAACCCCAAAAAAGTTAATGAGGTATTAATATTTTTCTCATTATTTGCACAAAGTTGCCTTGATATGTACGAAATGAAAATTTTACTTATCCATGGTTTCTGAGTTATTTTGTGAAAGTTCTAGTAAAACCATCAGTAAATATCTCAAAACTACGTCAATGTGAGGTAGACCTCATTGTTTTACTGAGCTCTTCAGACCTTTTCTTCTTTCAGATATCTAAAAATTTTACCTTATGTTAATAATTAAATTTAAACAAAAAAAAAGATTTAAAATTAAAAAAAAAAGATTTAAATAAAAAGTCTGATTTTCTATGTTTTAATCATAATTTTTATTAACCCTGGTATCACTTAACGAGTTTTAAACAAGGAACCAGGTAAGTGAAAAGTATAAGTGAAAGCACAAAAGTAGTTTATTTTGTACATATGAAACCTTTGAAGAAATATAATTGGAATAGACACTAAAATGTACTTCGAGTAATTCTAAAAAACACGACACATCATACAATATTTTGACACTACGTTGTCGAAGTTTTATTCCTCAATGATCGTCTTCCAGCTCTTACTTAAGAAATTGTTATGTGGACGTTTACTTGTTCATTCGTGCATACATTTGTTTCTAGCACTTTTCCACATTTCTGAGAGCATGTCATTTGTTCCTTTATTCCACGTAGCCTTTCAAACACATTCCTTAAAAAAATATCTACATTCATCTTGAATGTCGTGAACAGGCGCTGTGCAGCGGATGAGAATACGCTTGAAGCCAGCGCACTGGAACTCCCTGGAGTTTCGGGTGTTGGTGGGCGCCGCTGAGTTTTACAAGAGCTTGTGGCTGCCAACATTTAAGAACGTGCAGCAATGCACGCAACAGTCGGCGCCCCCATACATCGGAAATGCGTCCTACGTGCACGTCAAATTACTAATTTTTTAAAAGTAATTTTTTGACCAACACATTATTCGAGATTTTAACGCTTTGCTACACGTGTCGACGTTGAGTGATGCTGATGACGCTCCAGTCTTTGGCCCACGGGATTGATGTAAAGCATCACTAGACCTGTGCAACGCAAAATTATCCAATTATTGTGATTCGCACTATGAAAGCTAAACGTTATTGTCGTTTGAATCACGTCAACAGAACACCTTCCCGCCACTCGTTCTTTTCTTTCGTTCACCGATCTCTCGACGTCAGAGTCGACTCGCCAGATAAGGGATAAAACCACGGAGTAAGAAATATCTTACGCCATGGATACAATCGAATAATTTATTAATCATGTTCCAGAATAAAATGTTTCACACACTTCAAACAAAAGACCCAGGATATATTCTACAAACAATCATGATAATTCTCATTGTTTTGATGTACGAGTACTTATTACTGGCATGACTCTTAATTAATGGATTGTTCAGTATCAGTCTCCTGGCATCTAAAAAATATGATCATAAAATTTCCTATTTTGAATATGCCAAAAAAGCATATTTACGTAATGCGTATCATGAAAGTGACACTTCATATATTCTCTTAAATACACAAAGGTAAGCCGCCACGATCATACTTAGCAACGCTTCTTACTTTTTGAGTAGATTATTTCAAAAGATTTGTATAATAACCTGCTAAAATAGAACGTTTCATTTGCGGTGATTCTCTTTCCAGGATTAAATCACTCAAATAACCAAGGTGTTCATGTCCACGTACATCTTGTTCGCTCTTTTATTAGCTGCAGGTGTAGGATATTTAGGTTGACAGATGCAAGTATAGTTTTCTAAAACATTTTCTTCAATGTAAATAAACGAACATAGCCTGAATGTGATTCAAGTACAGCATATTTTCGCGTTTCTGCCAAAGATGAGACTTATATGTCATACTTCGCATATTTTAATAAGAAAAACAATAATTACGACTCTGTGAAGCTTTCTAAACACAGGAGGAGAAAATTTACTATTTATTGCAATTAGGCCAAGATGTACACAATCCAGAGGGAGGCATTGTTATGATCTAATTACTACAACAAAGTTTCATACACAAACGAGTCATATAACAATGAAAGGAGACATCATTGCCTACCTACAATACTGACCGATGTACTGTTCGAACAGCGCGCTCACGGTAACCCAGCAAATTATGCTGTTTCAACTGAGAGGTTCATTATATTCACACGCAGGAAAATTTTAACCATATTTCCCCATGAAGTATGTACGTGAAAATAAACTCACCTACCGATATCTTGTAACTGAAGAAGAGACCGATTACAGCTGATCGCCGGCAACACGAAGGTTAAAGACGGGACAAACCACGAGGTTACGCAATTCCACGTAGCAACACCATACGACTTTTACGCGCACGCCGCTGCGAGACGACTGACAGCGAAACTTTTGAGGACGTACATTCACTCAGTAGAACCACCTATTGAAAATTAAAATCCCGAAACTCCGCGTGCACTTTACCGCTGCTGTAACAAGTCTCTCACTTTACTAAAGTTGGCAGCATGTTTTGACAGCTGAGTCTTCAACCCCTTCTCCTCGCTAACCATTCTGCCATCTAACGACCAGCTAGTGCGTTACGATGGAATGTTGCCGGTCCCCGAAACATAGCTATCCAGCAGTAAATAGTTTTAACCCTCTGCAATTTACAATCAAGTACTGCACATGGGGTCTTTTTGGACCCCAAAATTTACTATTCGAAGTGGCAAATACGAATGTGTACGGCAATATACTGAGTGTAAATAATTGTTTTTATATAAGTATATATTTTATAAATTATTTTAAATAACACAATAAATACAATTTATTCGTGTTAAATATTTTATATAACAAATAACCTCTACCGTACGTAACCTCCAGTGTTGATAAATAATGCTTCATTTATAATGGTTTGTAAAAGTTATTTCGAGATAAATCAAATATTGACTGTATCAAACACTTTTCTTAAAAAGTTTATTTCAAGATATTTCAAATGAGAATGGGAAAATAACAGGCTATACCTCAAGCCAAACCAGTCTCATATAACAAAAAAAATTATAGTAATAATAATAATAATAATAATAATAATAATAATAATAATAATAATAATAATAATAATAATAATAATAATAACAACAACAACTCTAATAAAATTCGGAAAATGTGTGAAAATGTTGTGGTACATGCTTAATAAGTGCACAAAGGCATATCTAGGGTGTTGAAATAATCCTCAAATATTCTGAAAATTATTAACAAGTTAGTGATGGTGGGGTCCAAAGAGACCATAGATATGGTATGAGGGTACAGTCCAGCATGTCAGTCGTTTACTAATGTTTATGACTCAATTGTACAAATCATTCAAGACACATTTTTTGTTTCATCAACTAGGATCTATTTTCTTGTGTATTTATTTAAATCTAATCAAGATCTGACAAATATAATTGGATTAAAAATTAAAAACTCACAATTAAAAAGTTGGGATGTACATTATTTTCAATTCTGGGAAGATGTACCAATAACATACAACTGGTCAAATTAAAACACAAGCTCAGAAAACATTTCACCAGAACATTAGTAAAACTAAATCTTTTGTTATTTTTCAATGCAATACAAACCTGGCAAAAAAAAAAAAAAAAGGCCACCCCCTCCAAAAGTGGTGTATGACTGAACTTTAACTGAAATAATCCACTTGTGTTTCACACTGGAAGAGCACAATAAAAAAACACATTTGTGTCTTACACAATGTCCATGTCTATTACATTAGTGAAGGTGATGTATTTTCGTAATTGCAATTTGTAAAAAAAGGGCATATTTGAACAATGAAAAATTTTAATTGAAAAAAATTGTTTTTATCTAGGAGTTTGAAATTGGGAATGTTTATAGATCTAAAGAGAAACTTCCATTTATTTGAACTAAAGAAATTACAAAAAGTCAGTGCTAATTTCAATGCAATTGACAACTTTATTGGTAATCTTTCAGCAATTTTTAAATATAAGTGAGCAAACAAAATTATGACTTTTATGTTTTTCATTAGTACTCCATTATTTTTTTCCTGACAAAGTAGTTCACAATTTTGAAAGATTCAAAAATAAATGAACGGAAAAATATATTATGCTTTTAATAACATTTGAACAAAAACTGAAATAGAAGACGATAATTATTATGTATCAGCTAATATGGACAGCTTTGATTTATTTCAACTGGCTGCATATTTTCATGTTTCTTTCTTCTCAAACCCTTTTCCACCTTTTCCTTGTGCTTTTTTCATTCTCCCCGAACAAATACTAATATTGTTCTTTCACTAATGTTGTTTGTTACACGAACTGGTTATTTTGCTTCAAGAGCAAATTATTCAAATCCACTTCCAACTTTTTGAGCATTAATATAATGTCATTTTATTAACATTACCCCATACTACATATTCTCAATATTGGTCTTGTGAACAAGTTTGCTTATTAGACAAAAATGTCTTCAGGACTAATATCTGACCCCAGTAGCTGTTAAGGGAATGTCAATAAATTATGTAATGCTAAAGAGGGTGCATAAGAAAGCATAATTGTTTTATATTAGGGGTGGGGGTGTTAGTTTAGTGTTATGTAATACCAATATTTATTTTTTTTACATAATTTAACATTTACGAAAATAATCCCTTCTGTTCGGTCTTGTACTAAAATAAAATATTAACAAATTAAACCAAAACAATATAAGAGAAAAGTTATGGGAAAAAATCAAACCTGATCCATGGCCTAGTATTATAAAATCCAATTAAATTGGCAAAGTAGATTCTCCCTCATATCATCCATGATGGCATGTGCATGGCTTGTTATCTGAAATTTTCTTGTCTCGTGTCCTTCCATCACTCACAAATTGTCCCCAATTTAATAGTTGGGTGCAGTCAACATTGCCAACGTATTCTAATTTATCATAAATTTTAATATATAAAACAAATAGTTTTTACTGCCATATAATCTACTTTTCCTTCATGCAAACAGGGGTGTTGTTGCAAACATTACTTAATATTTAGGGGGTTCACATAAGCATTACAGGGTGGAGAATTTAAAATACTCCAAATTTGTGTATGTAATTTATGGACATTCCCTAATCTCTTTTGTTTGTTTGTGATTAAACAAACTATGTTTTCACTAGTTGAATGAAAAATGTAGGGCAGTCAAACTACATTTTGAAAACCAATTTATATTTGACACCTTTTCTTGGAAGGAAAAGGTATACATTAGCACTGGCGGAACCAAGGGGGCCATGGCCCCCCTCCCAAAAGGGATAATTTCTTTTCTACCTTCCTTTATTTGGCAAATTTGATTTAAATATTTATTTATGTCTGAAATAATAGTTCTTAAACAATAATATTGAATACTATCATATCTACAGTACATAAATAATATACAACATAATAACAAATATATTTATTATTTAACAAAAATCTACAATAGCCACCCTAAAAAAAATGGCTGGATCTGCCTATGTACATTAGCAACCATTCTTCTCTTTGACTCCTAAAACAAACAGTTTTTCAAGGAATCACAGATCTTCAAATTAGAATGTTTTTTCTCCATATGATATAATTCTAAAATGAACAATAATGATGAAAAATGAATTAAAACAATGTATAATTGGAAATACTCTTTAAAATTTCAATTACAGAGTTAATTTCACAGGTTAACCACAAAGCATTTGCTTTGCTTCTTCACTGTTTATAAAAGAAATAAATCTTAAGAGGATTGTTCAGAATTAGGACGGATTAAATCGTGATAACTTATATACTCTAACTGGCATTTCATCTAGATTTAAAAATTCCAAGAATTTGGTTGTTTCTTCCATCTCCACAGAAACATGTAATTTTTCTGCAAAACATAAAAGAATAACAAATATTTAATTTGAAGATTTACATATTTCCAATTGTACTTTCTACCAAAGAGATGTTTACCTAGCATCTCTAGGAACTCCTTTGTTGTATCTTCATTCCGAACAGTACATGCTACAACAGCAATACAATTTTTGTTCACTAAATGACACAGGGCACTGCACAATGATTCAAGTATTGTGGAATCGTACACTACATCTGCAAACAAGAATGTAAATTATTTAGGAACATGTACGTTAAAAAAAAGCTTCTTTAAATTTTTAGTTTGTAAAAACTGAAAAAAGCAAGAGTAAGCATTCAGTTGAAATAAGACAGATCGAAGAAAATTAGAAGTTTGAAGAAAGTTATAAATCAATGTGAAAATTTCAAAATATTCTTGATTTACATTAAATTAATATTGAGAGAGTAAAAGATTATATGTAATTCAAAACATTTATACTTACCCGCTGCTAAAACTATATCTGGGCTAATTCCTTGGCTTATATTCAAATTTGGAATATCTTCCCATGGTAAATTCATAACATATACACTAGTGTTCTTCATTCTCCCTTGATACAAAATGTTTTCTTCAACTCCATTTGGCATGCCAAATGAACTTACTTTAAAGAAATTATCTTTTTCTAGTGTATCAGAGAGTTTTGAGTCAATTTCACGATCAACATTTACTTTCACATTGGAAAGGAGCATACCCAGGACTGAAGGATGACAATCTGAAAACCAGAATGTCTGGGGCTCACATTCTGAACTTACAGCAAGGCCAGCAAGTCCAACTCCAGACCCCAATTCAAGAATACATTTATTTTGTAGTCTGAATTTGTGTGTAATGCACCAGTTAACTAGTGCCTGTGACGCCTACAAAAGAAAACAAAAACTTAAGATTATGATGGAAATAATAATAATAATAATAATAATAATAATAATAATAATAATAATAACAACAACAACAACAACAACAGCAGCGCAACATTCGGGCATAAATTGTGGATCAGGCAGAAGGGTGCCTACTTTTAGGCTGAAGTTTTGCGATTGTAAGAAATATTAATTACAAGATACTTTCTCTGCAATTTTGCGTTAGTTGATACAAAATAATATTAAAAACAGCATCTTCCAGAAGAACAATGTTTTCTCTGCTTCGATGGCTTATGTAACAGTGTCTTAAAAATAAAGGTAAGCAATTCATTTAGATTTTCATTAAATTAAATAATAAAGGCAGATTTTTCCTACTATTGGTTATTAATCATAGTTTGATGAACATGGATTTGTTGAAGGATATTTTTCTTATTTGAAGTGCTAACACTACTTGTGTTTGCGATACACTTTTGTGAAGGGGCCTGGCCCGCGCTTATTACTTTGCACTACAGCCGGCCCCGTGGCGCAGGCAAGTTGCGGCAGCCGTCGTCTGCGCCAAGGAGGCTGCAGGTTCGAGTCCTGTGTAGACACGGTCGTATTTGCTTTTCACCCATCATCATCATCCTATCACATAATTCAATGCGTAACGTGGGATACACCCGAAAAGCTGATCCCCATAATGACACATCTAGGATAAATATGACTGGATCTCGGAAGATAACGCCCCAAAAGAGTAACAGGCATATACTAATAATAATAATAATAATAATAATAATAATAATAATAATAATAATAATAATAATGGCATAAGGAATTAGCAGTCTTCGCTGTCCTCAGTTCCCAGCCAAGGGCTAGGGACTGCGCAATCAGCCCGGTTTCCTTTACTTACAAACGGGCGCAGATCGCTCTCACAACCTAGACATCCACCCTTCACATTTCCCTCTCCCTCTCTCAGCGGTGAGTGGGTTGACACTTTCGCCAATTACCTAAACCCCAGTTATTTTTTATCTGGAAAAGTTTCAGCCTCGATTCCTGAAGTCCAACCCTACATCAGAGCACATGTCACCTCAAGCCAGAGACGGCTATGTCGATAAAAAACGGTCAATAGGGCAATGGCAAATACCCGAAAACTTATGGAGACCCGATCAAGAAGTCGTATGGCCTCGGGAAACGCGCCGCTGCCGGAGGAGCGCCAGGGCGTGCGCCGAGTCGGCAAGCGAGCCCTCATGGCAGAGTTGGCCAGGCGGACCTCTACCACTCCAAGTGCTACAGCCGAACTTCAACCAGAAACTAGTGGTGCTTCACAATGACACAGACTTGCCAGTATTAGTTTTCTATTTCCAATTCTAGTTCTACTCGCAGGAACGAAGCTGACTCCACATACTTTAGGGTTTCGAAAATTGCATACATCTCAGCAATGAAAATACTGCACTAATGGTGAAGTCGATATGATTTGGGGATCCTGATATAATAAAAACTACATGTCACTTCGTCATTGTACGATGATCCATTTGTGTATAAGACTACAAGATCCAGAAAGGCTGCCCTCATTTCCTGAAAACGCATTTAGTAAACAAGAGGACAAACAGTTTATTTAGGAAGTTTGGAGAGTCTGAGGTTAATATTGGGACGGTGGAGTTTCCAAGGAGGAATGTCGTTACTTGGGGTTTCACAGGGGTGGGAAGAGCGACATTAAGATTCGAAATCGAATCCTGCAGGCCGAGATAGCAATGTACGAAGGACTCATATTCAGAATGGATAATTATTTGGCGACAAGGGTGGTGAAAGAGTCCTGACACTTTAGCTCCATAAGACTAACACATAATATCTTTCTTCTTTTTAAGAATGTCTCCCCAGCCTCAGCCGCAAGACTATCGATTCGCGTAGTGCGATGCGCGCCTGTTAAGAGGCGGACATGAGCGTGGTGTATGCTATTAAAGGGTCGGAGAGTGGAGGGAGTTGCAGATACATAAACATCACTACCGTAAACGAAAACTGAACGGATGAGTGCTTTATATAGCAGCAATAGCACGAGGTCAACTCCCCGTGATGGACCACTCAGCATACAAAGAAGATTACGGAGTGAGACATATTTTGTAGTCTACGGATATGAGCGCACCCGGTGAGTACTTGTCAAACGTGAGCCCTAGGAAGTTGGCAGATTCAGCGAATGGAAGCTGATTTCCTCCGAAGTAAAGGAATTGCTACGCATCTGCATCCTGCAGAAATCGCATGTAGATTTGGTAGTAGAAAAGTTAAACCCTGTTGGCACGCTCCATTTGTGGACCTTGTTGAGCACCAATTGAAGTTGCCTCTGGATCATACAAATGCTGCTGGACGAACCGAAGATGACGAAATCATCCACAGATAACGGTATCTTCACAGGCTCTCGCACAATCAACTCGAACCATGCGTCGATTTTTTATTTATATTCAAGACTTGGAACCATAGATAAGGGTTACTGGTACCTGAGAATTTTGAGTCTTGCTTATTCTTTTATTTCTGAGGTTTCTTGATAGTTCCACAAATTCATTAAAATCAATTCTATTTATTACTAATACCTTCTCTGGAACAAATAATATGTGTGTATAAAATATAATATTTAAGTGTCCAACCTGTTCTATTGTGTAACCCTTTACGACTATTTTTGTTTGGAATATTTGCTCTGGAATAACTTTGCCTTTTTTTATTGATATTTCAATACAACATATAAATATTTAGCGCTTGATTTCTGCAGGACCACAAAAGAACAGTGTTCTGGTACCTCAGAAATAATTATTTAATTATATTATAAATATATCCGTATTTCAATTAAATTAATAGTTAATTTGGTGTGTGTTCCGGAACCTAAAATTTTATACATAAAGCACTGGAAATATTTAAAATTCTTCCAGCCAACACTGTAGTCCAGTTCAATATTTAAGTTTTATTGTTTACTTTTAAAATCCATGGATAAGTCTTATCTGCCAATCAGCAGCTGAAATGTACAACTATTTAGGCACGACTGTGTCACTGATATGGCAGATCATTCAGAGAGGTCATATAATTCATTATTAATACCTTTCCCCAATCTCTCAATTTGTTTTGAAAATATCAGTACCATTTTGCATGAAGCAAAACAATATATATATATTGAATTATATTTAGGTTATTACACCTAGGATATCTCATGAGGACGCGCAATTCTGATTTGTATATTGGTATTAACTATTCCAATTTTTTGGTAAACAATAATAGAATTTCAGTAAGCAAAAACCACTACTCTTTAGCACCCTAATGCCTTTGTCACCTCAGAACCTACTAATACAATTACACGGATTCAAATCAATACCCGATTCCCCTTCCCCTCCAAACTCAACCCTGTTTGCAATATTTTTGAAACTGAATCAGCCATCAAATTTTATGTTTGGGGAATATAAGCATCACACCAAGAAAGAAAAGAAGAAGAAGAAGAAGAAGAAGAAGAAAAAGAAGAAGAAGAAGAAAAGAAAAGAAAAGAAAAGAAAGAAAAGAAAGAAAGAAAGAAAGAAAGAAAGAAAGAAAGAAAATAAATACATTAAGTTGAATGTATCCCCTCCCCAAAAGAAAACAACAACAATAAACTTAAGATCACATATTTATTATTTGTGTGTGTATGGATTTGAGTAAACTATCCTCTGCACCTGTTCCAAGGTTAACACTTATTACTATTCGTAGACCAAAACAATTGGTGTTTGTGTTATTAAAAAAAGTTTGTGTGTGTGTGTTTGTCTACATACTAAATTTTTATTAAATAAATTATGAAAAATCTCACAGAAATCTATAGGTAGCTGCTATGTTGATATTAATAAATCAGATAAAAGAAGCAAAGAGACCTATAAGAGACTTGTAACAGACATCAGCTACTGAGTAATTGTGAAGGTTTTGGTAATTAATCCAGCCTTTGAAAAAATTATGCTGAACTCTTTCTACTCACTTAATATAAACTTCATTGTGTGGTTTACAATGAAACAAAATGTACATCAATATTGGTTTGATGAGAGCCTTTACAAAGCCAGAGCTTCAAGTCTGTATATAGCCAAGGATACTCTACAATAATTTACAACACATCACTGAGTATCATAATGAATACATTAGTTGGGACTGTAGCGCAATGCCTAGAGCACATTATGCCTTCTACTGCTGGGGACCAAGGTTCAGCCCTTGACCAATCAATACAGAATTTTGTGGTAAACAAAGCAAGCTCTCGGCAGGTTTTCTAAGGGTGCTTTCATTTTCTGTGCCTCTCACCCCATTATTTCTTCATTACCATTCACTTAGTCATAACTATCATCTACTCATCACTCAGGAGCCTCTCAACATAGCAGTTGAATAACACATTAGGAGAAAAAAATGTAAATACTTTTTCCAACAGAGATCTTCCACTACTGCTAGAAAAACTTTCATTGACAATACACAATCCGTCATTCCAAGCCTATCAAAATTAAAACAAGACAAGGAGATAGTTCTGAATTGCATTACTACAGAGTGATGGCCAAATTTTGTGGATGAATCCTAGCAATTAAATTGCTCAAAAGAAAGAGTAAAAAAGTTATAACAGAAAAGTACTACAAAGTTCATGGAAAATCGAAAATCTTTCAAATGTTGTTTCATGTCCTTCATGTCATATTCTTCTAAAATTCTGATCAAATTGGAGAGAGATAAAAATTCTGGAATAATTCAATCACTATTTTCATACATACATTCAATCATTGTAAACATATTCATATCACTATTCTGAACATGCAATTGAAATGTTTTGTATTTAACCAGATCTATATATGGTGGTAGTTAACCATAGTAGGAAACCCTGCTATCCACCCTAACTCAAAAACACAATGCATCACTAATACAGTAATTATAACAACTGGTCATATTTGGTAAAAGGGCACATGTATCTGATTGTTGTTGCTAGACGTATTTATATACACTATTTTTGCATTTAAAAATACCCAATTTTGGAACTATAAAAAATATACATAATTCATTTTCAAGATTAACTACATGTAATGCAAATGTGTGTTTTGCAAACAATGTAATGAACAAATGGTGGCATATAAAAATTAATTCTATTAATTTTAAAATATTATAATGATTTAGTGATTGTACTATAACTCAAATAGCAAATGATATCTTATTTGGGCCCATAACCTTCTATTTGAAGCAAAAATCATGAAATTACGTTGAGTAGAAAGCTCAAATTTCTTTTAAAGTGAAAACTCTTTGCCTTGAAAGTACATAGATATTTTATATGAATAAACTTAACTATTACCAACAGCAATTTTTAGTGCAACTTATCAAAGCAAAAAGGTTCCCATGTTCATTGTGGAAATAAATTCACAAAAAAAGATAATACTTACTTGCCAAGTATGCAACCCAGTAGTTCCTTCCCCTATAAAATTTGAACTTTCTTGAATAGTGATACAGTGTTCTATAGACTCACGTAACATATAATGTTTAAAATGAGTTGCACTCTTAGCATGTGTGTTAGTTAGTTCAAAAAATGTCTCATAAAACTCATTGCACACTTCTAAGCCTTTGTTTTCAAGCTGGGTGAGAAGAAAAGACACATAAAATTATAATTCTCTCTTGACATTATATTAGAAAAAAGCCTACATTACTAACTTACCTCTAATATAATTAGTTTCATTAATGATTGCATATATTCGATTTTAAGTGGATATTGTTTAACTAATGGAAGAGAAATTGTATTTTCCAGAAATTGTTTTTGACTGTTGAAATCACTATCTTTGGTCAAAGTATCCACAATCACCTAAAATTCACAAGGTAATTTTTTTGAATACAAAGTAAAGAACAGTTGGCACAGAAATAACAATTTCCGAATGTTAATACTTACAGGAATTAAAAGTTTGGTAGGATAACCTCGTAGGAACAATTTCTGATAAGATTCATCGGTTAGAGGTAAAACATCCATGCTGCTTTGGTTTATTTAACTATCCAAACCTTCAAAAAATAAGGAATACTTAATGTGCATCTGATTCCAACAATAACAATCTCCACAGTTCTTTAACTACATCACTTAGTCAAAAAAATCAAAGTTGGTACTTTAGAAAGGTTCTTGAAAATTAGTATTTAGATAAGGTACTACATCTGTTGTACTGAGGATCTTATTTAAATCTGAAACGGACATTAAAATGAAACATTATTTTCTTTAACTTCATTACCTCAAGACTTAACAAGTTTGTGAGGATATCAACGGGTTTACTATGAACATTTTTTGGGGTGGTCTTCCACTCAACGATAATTTTTTATTTGCGCAATAGAAAAAACTAAAAAAAAAAAAAGTGTAATACATTTGGTCAAAACTTTCAATCTAACCTCTCAGTGGGCAACTACTTTCTGGAACATAAAGAATGCCACGAAGCAGCACAAAGCTTCGTTTCTACTAGAAACACTGCCGGCTCAGACCAGCTCAGACTGACGTTAACGTGCATACCGTGTCCCAAGAAGGTTATACTTCGGTTTTTATTCAGTGGCGCATCACGGCCTATTCTCACGATGGAATGTCTCACGGCCTTTCGCCTTTCTCAGCGTTTCTCAGTCGCGCCCGTCGCGACGCACATTGCACTGATTGATACGGTCGCGATCATGCGACATCTAGCGGTACGGTCAAGAAACACGCGATTTGCCGTGAGATATCCCATCGAGGAGAGCGGCCCTGACGCGCCACGTTATAAATACCGAAGTATATACTTCAATTTTTATAACGTGGAGTCTCAAAATCGCATACGAAAAGGGGAGAAGGGAGCGTATACAATACATTGTAAGCGAACTTCCTATATTATAAAATGAGTACTTTTAACTAATTTGCGAACGTTTTTTTCAACGACGTTCATGGCTTTAGACATGTGCGTATAGTTGCGCACGTTTTTGAAATACCTAATTACTGAGTTTTTAAATTAAATTTTTAATTTAATATTTGTTTTTAAAATTATATATTGAGTAGTTTAATGGTGTTGTTTCCATTGTGTGTAGTGTAGCTTTCTCATGCAATGAGCATTTGTGAAATATTTTGGTAGTTGAGAAACTATTACAATTTATTTTCCTACACAACTCTAGTGAACCGTTTCTAGGAAACAAGGAAATAATTTATTTAATGAAATATTATATGATATTGCTGAATTGTGGCCTCCGTCATCATCGAAGCAGTAAATAATAAGTTTTTAAATTAAATTTTTAGAGAGAACTGTAATAGTACTTATATAAAAGTTGTAGTGTTGTGAGTTATAGAGTGATTTTTATTACTGTCCACCTCAAGGCCTATCTTTACGGTGGCATTACATTTACATACACTGCATTTCATGTCTGTCTCGGTCGTGCCGCTAAATGCCGCGACAATATCAAGCAATGCTTAATACTGTCGCGATAATGCGACATCTAGTGGCACGACAGAGAAAGCCAAATGCAGTGACAGAATGCAACCATGGTAACGGGTCTTGAGGCGCATATTTATAAAAATCGCACTATAGCCCAGATTTTCAGGCGGGACATACCCAATAGAGAACTATTAAATTAAAATAGTAATAGTATTACTAATAAATTGAAGTAAGATGTGTTCTGTGTTAAAAGAATTTTAAATGTACCGCGTAAATGTTGATTGGCTTGTATCCACGATGTAAGAAACATGTAATATACCGTGTTTGTATCATATGTTCATCTGTTTACATTATTGAGAACCGACTCCTTTCTGGTGAACGAATTTTTTCGTGTCAAAGGAACTTTCGGCTAGTGACTGGTATTAATTGCGCAATTTTTCTTGACAGGTAACCTTGCTTCCCTCTCTGGCATAAAAACAGTTGAAGGCAAAAGCTCGCAGCGAGCACTGATGACAACTTTCCAAGCACATCTTCACTGGCGGGAAGTATAAACTTCTTGTTGAAGAGCGTGATTTTCTTTAAAATGATCTAAAGAAATGACTCAAGTTGGTGAAGATCCATCATAGAAGATACCTCGAACTCCTGAGAAAGTTACAACACAAATTATTGAGAAAGTTGCGAACGCATGATTGATTTTCCAGAGATGAGCATTGCTTCATTAAATCTATACTTTAGTTTTTATTTTGGCGCGAGAGAGCCTGACTTCGTGATGGAATATCTCACGGCATTTCGCGTCTTTCTTGGTCATGCCGAGAGATGTCGTATGATCGCGACCGTGCTGGGGTTCATTTGATCACCATTCGACATCCAGCGGCACGACCGAGAAAAACGCGAAATGCCGTGAGATATTCCATCGAGTAGTCAGATTCTCTTGCACCAAGAAATAAAAACCCAAGTGTAGTGGCCGATTTTGTAATTAATACCCCCATTCTACCCGCATTACTTCAATCCATCGGTCGAGAAAAGTTGCACGAGTAATATACGTAAAGGGAAAAGATAGTAATATAACCACGAAGTCTCCTGTAAATACTTCGTGTATATAACTCTTGAAGTAGACCTTTTGTTGTTTTTTATAAGAAAAGGAATTATTTAAATCTAATGAATGTTTTCCATTGAAATTGAATAGCATCAAGACGAACAGCAACTATTTCTTTACTTTTCATGAAAATGTCTAGAAACTGCTGATCTAAATTAGTTCAAATATTAAAAAATAGAAAAAGAGATTTTAAATGCATGCTGAAGGGATTATTGAGATTTCTTTTTACCTGAATGGCTAAATGAAAACCAGAGTGATGCTGATCTTTCATATTTTATTTCACAGTACTACAAATTATTTTCAAAACTCTGTCTAAAATATTGTCTGTTTTTTCCTTACTAATAAAATATTAACATCCCAAATGCTAGAATTTGAAATATTTTGTCTTGCTGAAGGTTTTCTCTGTTGGTGAACTTCAACAAATAGTGAATTCTAATTCTCACAAAAGTTTTCCGAATGATCTTCTTCACTTCACAACAACCACTCACAAAATTGTATTCTGGGATTTTGTGTAAAAGTTGATTCGCAATAGTTTGCTCAGCAATTAGTTTTCCAAATTCTGTCATTAAAACTTCACACTTTGACAGATAATTATTAATGTATTCAAAGAATGGGTCACCCATATATTTCCATCGTGTAAAATACTTCGGCAAGTGAAGCACGGATAATTCAAATTCGCAAATTTGGAAGATACAAAAATTATTCTTAAGTGTCCATATTTTTAAAAAAAATTGTACATGTCCTTTTTTAAAAGAACTGATTTTGAGAACAGATTTCATTTAACAAAAAATCTCTAATCTAATATTGTACTTTTGCCACGTTAATTTTTTGCATTATTTTGAAAATACAGAAAGGGTTCATAAATGAGACGAGAATAGTTTTCTGATCATTCTTAGCTACAAGTGAGGTAGGAGAAACTTAAAGCAAAAAATTTGAAGTCATTTTTGAGAATGTGTTAGAGGAGGCTATTTACTATTTTGCCAGCTTTTTGTTACTAGAGTTCTGCAATTAGAGGTTTTCTTATCGAAAAAAAAAAAAGTTGTTTTCAACAGCATACTTTCTCTACACTATGCCAATATATGAGAAATTAAAATCATATGCAACTGAGGAAATTATTTGAATTCATTGTCATTTGTGCAAGTGGTTTGTGTGTTTTGTTCAGTACTATTTGGGGGAAATACTTGTGTACAGTCCTATTTGTACTATTTCAGTACTATTTGTGTGTTTTATTCAGTACTATTTGAGTTCTTGGCAACACTACAGGTTTGACATGTGGAAGCCTCCAGAAAATCATGTTCCGTTCACCCAGTATTAGGCCCTGGCTCTTTCTACTCATTCCTTCTTGTCCCATCACAAGCCCTATCTTTTCTGATCTCTTATTTTAATTCTCTTTTTAATTCAATGATTATTCTATAATACCCATTTTAATGTTTCCTTAAATGTAGCTGCAGAATTCCAAGCATTTTCTAGATTACTATCACTGAAAATAATTCTGCTCTATTTTGAAGTTGACTCGTCTCTTTTATTTAATTATTTTCACATTGTGATCCTCAGATTGCGTGTTGCAATTCCACAAGTAATTGAGAAGTTATGTTTTGTATCTGGTATGAAGGGACATAAAGAAAACAATAGGATTTTTCAGTAATTGCCATGTATTTCTGCAAAGTATAACATCAATGTAATGAATATGGAGCTAGTTTTAAAAAATATAAAAGCAGTTTTTTTGCACATATTCAAGTTGTTCATGATAGTGCATTTGATGGCTTGAAAATATTTTTATGACTACAAATCTTTATAAACCAAGCTAAGAAATGAATCAATGTTGGATGATTCATGATATAACATGAATATAATTGAGAAAACATGACTTTCAAACTTTTTCTTATGATGTAACACAGTGTGTACATGTTACATAGAGCCTAAGCGTGATAACGAGTAGGCCAGAGCAAAGATGCAATTGCTTAAAGGCATTCATATAGAACACGTACATACAGTTAATCATTCTAAGAGAATAATTCACAGTTCTTTAAAAAAAATTGTTTGGAGAAATATGTAATCAGCATATAAAAGAATACTTATATTTATTATTTTAGTCTTTACCCTTTGGTTAAAGCATATTTTGCTAGCAAAGAAATTTGATTAAATATTGTTCAAGAGTCCTCATGTAATCATAAGCAACCTCTTTTTTGTTCATCTTCAATGCAATATGTGACATATTGAAGAAAAATAAATATACTATAAATTTCCAGACGTACATTAACAAAACATAACATGCTACATAACATAATATTCAGTACTATTTGCATTATTATAAATACTGTGATCTAGAATAAGCATTTTCACAAAAATATTTCATCAAGATCAATCAAATTAATTGTTTTTGAAAATTATAATTACATTTACTTGAAATTAGAATGTCACCAATATAATTTGGGAGTGAGGATGGAAACAGGAAATACAAATAAATTTATGAAGAGGTGGATTCAAATGCAAAATCTAATACTTTAAAATTATGGTCCACTGTTAAAAGAGTTGACTCTTAAACCACACAAGCTGGTGAAAGTATTACTACAAGTCTATTCTGTATGCAATTTTCTAAACATTTCATACAATATGGTATGCAAATCTTCATGATGCATTTGCACATAGTTACACATAAATTTGAAAAGACAAATGCATAAATATTGGTTCATTATAGAATTTCATACATAACAAAATTCTAATTACAGATGATATACCATCTAGATACTGTATAAATAGACTCTGGCCTCTCAGGAATCATTTTCCTATTACAATTACTTTTTATACTATACAATAATATTTGGAATTGAGAGTAATAATATTACTTATATATAGTTATATGTATACATATACACATTGCATTTCTATATTCTCTTTAACGGAAACTAATAACTGTACAATACTAATTACAATGACAATTTATTACAAACACTAATGGCATATTGTAAGTATGTTGAGGTACTGTTGTGCTATTATTTGAGGAATACTGAAACACAATGTTGAGTATTTTTGTCACATCTGGTAAAAAGCTACTTCGTTTATTTTTGTAGTGGATGTCATAAACTCTGCTTAGTAATTTTGGACAGAGTTACTCATGTGATGATCAAATTTTAAATAGAATATTAGTCGTCAATTTGTGATCATGAATGTTG